ACATGCATTGAAAGTGAAATGTGCTTGCAAAATTAAATTCCATAAAACACAAAAGAAAAAATACCAGTCAGAAGTGTGTCAAAGGAAACTTCTAATTCTTTCTTCTTCTATCTGTTTGGCCAAGAACAACTCATTTTTTCAACACATGCACTAATCTGGTCGTTCATTTTGCCAACTCATTTTTGGCCTCCCCTTTTCACCTATAGCTAGTTTAGCCAAAACCAGATATCGTGTCAACTCTCAAACATTTTCTCCACTTATACATGATTACCCCATTAAATGACTTTGTAGATCTGATCAGCTACAATGGTATATGTTCAACCATTCTCAACGCTAAGGCAACTTACCTTGACATTATTTCTAGTAACTCATGCATCAACAAACCTCTCATCACTTCATTTTTTTTTTTTTTGGTTCATTATTCTCCACAATTAAACGTGATTATTTAAATTATACAACTAGCCTTATGTAAACTGAAATAAACTAATTTCTTAAAATCTATCTCATTCTGATCACTCATACAAAGTTCAGCTATATTTTGTTTTTTCTTCCAGCAAATAACACACATCATAGGCTGTTTTCCAAAAATTTAATGGCATATGCTCTATTTAATGATTTTATGGAACATCATATTGTCTCAGATTGTATAATTATGCGTTGATCCCTTAGTAAATCATAAGAATAATCATATCATACGATCTTATCCATTCAATACCTTCTTGGCTTACAACACTTCAAGTACTTTCAGTCTGTTACCAATGCAATATTTCTAACTTAACAATCTAACCAGATATAGAGGAGGTTAATCAATTGGCTGGACCCCATCCCTTTAAACACCACTTCCGTCTTCATTAGACAATGTCTTATTATAAAGAAGTGAAACGTACTTCCCAAGCATCTGTTAATATCATGTCGGCCATATTGCCACCCAATTTTTTAAATTATGAGACAAATACAACAGACTCTCATCAAAACAATGTCATTGACAAGATTAGAATCATTTAAATATTGACTCAACTTAATTGTCATCATGTTTAATAAGAATGTGAACTGGTAGGAAAAACCGTGTTATTTAGTCTTTACCTTTTCCTATGTAATTGATAAATGATTACATGGTCGGCAAGTTGCACATTGCTATCTAATCATAAGTATTTCTCATCATTTTACTTGTTTCGAGAAATAACAGTTTACCTTTTAACTTGCAGGACTTTCTATGGGTCCTACAACTGAGTTCCCATGCTTCATTCTGAAGGTATTACCCAACTTGTCAATAAAACATTAACCTCCACTACAAATACCTAAGCAGACAGATTCTTATCTAACATGTACAAACAGTTATTGTCCTGCATTCATAAACAAAATGCTTAAGTAAAATACAACCTCCATGGATGGTGGTCTGTTGAGAATAACGCCAAGTGAAACAAGAAGCTGTAAACGAAAATCTAACAAAATCAACCTGTTCCTGCATGATTAAAGCAACTTCAACAACAAGCAGTATCCATTTAACAAAATGACCATGACTTTATTCAATAAAGCCACAGCCTACAAATGATTTCTTAATCTTAATTTTACATTTTTTAGGCATCTTTAAATCGGTTATTTTAAGCTACATTAATAGCCAAACACAATTAAAATAATCCAATCGTGACTGATATCGAGTATTAAAAAAAAGGAACAACATGATCAAATTGACACTCGGATTTTTTAGCATTACCCTAAACGAGAGACGTGATCAAGACCTCATGAAATTAAATTATATCACATTGACTTAATCAGCAGTAATTAAAAAAAAAGAAATTAATCTAAACCAGTAGGCTTCAACTATTGAAAGTGACGTGAATTTCAAAGTTCATGGATCTACGCCGTGTAGCATATATTTTACAGGCAAACAAAAACATTTCGATAAAAGGTTAAAGGAACAGGAATCGGAAAAGCTTAGAGAAAGCATTACTCACCCTAATTTGGCGAAATCATGTTTGAAAAGTTTGATACAATTTCAAAGGGAATATCTTTCCTTTCTCCGACAGCTAGCATTTGAAATGAGAAAGCAGAATTTTAGGCATTTCCGATAATTTCAGATGGTTGTTTCTATCTGGGTTTTTAGAAGTTTAGGGTCCAAACTCAAGCCCATTTTACATGGGCCGTGCTAGTTTACTTGATATTGGGCCAAAAGAGTATTTTATTAACCCCCAATCATTATGACAATTTTTTTTTAATAAAATGCTCAAGTCGATATCAAGTAGTTAGTGCAATGAATAAAGCTGAATTTGAATACTTTTATCTTCAATATTTCATATGCTTAATAGAAATTTTAATTTCAACTATTTAATATAATTTGCATATTCATACAAGATTTTTTTTTTTTTTTACTTTAAAGTAGACCTAACAACTTTAAATATAACATAGTGATACAATGTGAAAACGATACAAAAAAAATTATATATATGTTTTTAAAAAATATGTTTCATGTATATTCATGTCGACATAAATTTTGATATGATACAATTCGTATCATATATGTATTGATTAATTTAAACATGTGATACCATACGAATAATACGTTTAATTTAATTTTATCATACGAATATACATTTAATATATTTAATACGTTTAACATATTTTTTATATTTATTTTAATTTAATACAAACATATAAAAAATTATTTTAATTAAATCTTTTAATTATAATATTTAATTAGCTATTTAATATCATATAAAATTTATTTTAAATATTTAATTGTGATACTCATTTAATAATTATTATAAAATTATTTTTTTATATTAATAATATAAATATAAATATTAATATTAGTCTATATATTATTATTTTATTTTTAATTTTAATAATTTATCATTTTGAATTTAATAATAAAATCAATATAATTATGTAATATAAATTAAAATTTAAATATATATTAAATACATATTAAATAAGTATTAAATTTTTTATTTTTTTAATATGTCAGTATTTTTTATATTATTAATATGTCAAATTTATTAAGTTGTAAATAATATATAGTTTATAATTGTTTATTATTTTAATCATATTTTTATATATATTCATATTAATCATATTTATTCGTGTATATCTGTGTTAATCATATTTATTTTTATATATTCATATTATTTATGTTTATTCATGTCATATTTAAACGAATTAATTATATACATATTAATCATGTTATACCGTATATAACACGTATATTAAATGTATTATGTTCATATTTAAGATTTAAACATATTTTATAATTCGTATCGTGTTCATATTTAAAATTTAAATATATTTTATAATTCATGTCATATTTATATTTTAATAATTTATATCATCATACCTTTCAAATATAATGTAAAAATATAAATTATCATATCTACTTTAAAATTATCAAAAATTGTATTTTATCGTGTGAATATTGGTCCATGTCAAAAATATATTTTTTCTTCAAATAATTGTATTAGTGGTCATTCCATGATTGGAAAGTAATGAAAGTTGACCTCAAAAAATATTGTCATTCAAGTTGTGGGTATCCGAAAATCATTTTCAAAAGAAATTACGAGGACAAATCACTATAAACCTTGAAGGATCAAAGTGAAAATCATGGCAATGTTGTTTCACAGTCAATGTTATTACCTACTTGCTTTTTATCTTTTATTAAAGCATCGTTTATTGCAAGATAAAAGATAATTTTTTTAATTATTTTTAATAAAAAAAATTTTCAATAACTTCAATTAAAAATTTTCACTAAAATCTTTTTCCTTTATTGCTAGAAGTAAAATTTTTTTCTTCATATTCCAACTTTGGATTTTCCAATTACTAAAAAGTTAAAGAGTTTTCAACGGATATTGTCATGATAACCGAAACCAATAAATAAAACTTGGATAAAATTTTCTAAATTAAATTTATAATTTTTTTGAAAATAATTTAAGAAAAATTTTAATACAAAATTCAAAATACGGCCAAGATAAAAATTAATAATATGTAAAAAAAAATTAAAAATGTCTATTATAATTTAAATTTGTTAATTAATTATTCAATAATAAATATTTTATCAAAAATTTTATTAAAAATATTTATTTAAAAAATATATCAAAATTTATTTTTTTTTTTCAAATTTTGTACACTTAATCTATCTAATAAGATTTTTTAATCTATTAATTTTCATTTTGATTTAATTATTTTTTTAGGAAATTTTATGAATTTCACCAAATAAATTACATCAAAATCTTTCTCGTAACGGACATATGCGTATCTATGCAATTTCAACCACAGAAAGAGAAAAATTGACAACTATGAATGTTATTTTTTAGTACACAATCATGTTCATAGCCTCCGATGAAACCAAGCCCGTCCAGTTCACTCTGCAAATCTCAACTTCAGAAGAAATAGACAGCAAACAAAAGATGAAAAAAAAAATCTCTAGTGCTTATCAGGGAATTCTTGAATTCATCATCTGGAGGACAACAATGAAAGCAAAATCATCAAAAAACAAGCAACGAAACCATTTGTTTGGTTTTGCAGATTGGTACATAACCAGTTGAGAGCTCTGCAATTGGTGAAAGATTTGAAAGCGACCAATGAGAATCCAATTGCCACGGCCGTGAAAATATCTCTACATGGTACAAATGTGATACTTCATGATTGTTCATTATCACCGACCACACGGCTCTTTAATATTTACTACTGTCTCACAAGAAAGAGAGAGACAAACTTAAATACAGGAAAAAACTAAACCAACAAAAAAGTTAGAAGCTACCAAGTGATCATTGGATCCAATAGAAACATCTTTAGTTGTGTTTTCTTGCAACTTGCAGCTACATCTTGTCGATTTTCAACAGCTTCAGAACAATCTACACTCATTTAAGGCCAAGAAAAGGATTACAAAATGGCAGCCAATAAGTGAATTAAATGCATTGTGCATGGTACAATGGGTTCTTATTTAGGGATACAAAAAAAAGCAAGAACCTCGAAACAAGTCATGACGGTGACTACCACGGATTCTGATCTACAGCTGCAACCTAACCAAGGATAGAGAAAGATAAGAGGCAAAGGATATACAAAAGGGAAAAAAAATGGAATGGTAGATGAAGAAAACAGGGTTAGAAACACCGGTAACAAGAGAGAGAGCATTTTCCTCGGATACAGTTCTTGGTATGTAGTTCCCCCTATCCTGCCAATAACAAGAAAGTATCAAAACAATGTGAAGATCATGGCCTATCCCTTTTTTGAGAGCCCATTTGCAGAAATATTAAACTAAAGCTACAAAACGTGCTGGGTGTAAGACCTTCCCCCGAAGAGAAATTGTCACCGAGGGAATGCCGAACTGGTTCTCACAAGTAGCTATGCTATAGAATCTAGATGTTCACTTTCTCTACTTTGGACTTGAAACCAAATAACCCAACCGGTCAGCCAATACATTGACATCTTCATCTTCTCCTGCTTCAGTTTCTGGTATATCTAACTCTCCTTCAAATCTCTCATTCAATAGTTCTTCCCAAAATCCTTCATCAAGTTCTTTGTCATGATTCTCTCCATGTTCGAGCTCATGTGTTTCCTCTTGTTCCCTTCTTGACCTACCAAAACCTTGCATTTCCAGTGCAAGTGCTTCCAACTCTGTTACTTGGTATCCATTATCTCCAAATTCTAAAGGTTCAGTTTTAACAGGATCCGTTCCCTCCCTCCCTCGGCTTGATTCACCTACATCCACAGCACCAGGTCGTCGATCAATTGGCCGCCTCCTTTTCTTAGACATGGCTTCTTCAATCTCCTTTCTTTTCTCCTTTTGTTGCATTAGCTGCTGGAGAAAAGCTGGATTCTGCATTGCTCTAGCCAAGAAAGACATCATTTGCTGCTGCTTCTTTTCTATGCCTTGCAGCCTTTCTTCCATTGCCTGAAGATAGGCTCGAGTGTTCTGTTGCTGCTGTCTTAGTTTCACCAATTCCATCATTAGAACCTGCTTGTCACGCCTCAAACGATCAACTTCTCCATCTAGGCCAAACCTCCCGACTTCAACACAAGGACCAAGAGCTTGTTGAGATGGTGGGGTCTGAGATGCGGTCTTTCTTCTCCTAATGCTCTTCAGAAGATGCTTCTGGCCCCTGAGAAACCCCTCGTTGGCAAACTCCCATTTGTCTGGATCAATCTTTCTAAACCCCTACAGGAAATTGAAAATTCCATAATCAGTAGCATTTATCAACTATCAAAATTTCAGGCTAAATGAAATCACACAATAACCAACCAAAAACTTGAGACAGACTAATAATTTATTTTTAATTTCATTGATGACGGAGACAGACTAATTAAACAACTCAAGCACTTGACCATAGAGTATGCAGACAAAATACTGAATAAGTAATATTTTATTGCTGAGCCTTGCCGCCCAAAAATAATTAAGGTCCTACTTCCAGATAGAACCACTGGGGTGAAAAAACAACAATAAAAAACCAAGTGAGACCAAGCTTCTACCTACTGATTGCTCAAAAGTTAAAATGCAGAAAATAATGGAGAGGAAAACCCTGAAAAGTGCTTCAAAGAACATCCTACCAAAACGGAATAAAAAAAAACTTGAATGGATTTATCAGCTTTTTATCTGTAAGTCATGTGAGATTCCAGAACTTCCAAGAATTATCTCAAGCATCAATCAAAAAATACGTTATGACTTATGAGGGCATTTCTCAATATACAATAAGAGGAAATCCTTAGCATCCAATGAACACAGAGATATAAGATAATTGACAATTTGCGAAACCAATATAAAACAAGTAAACAACCAATTATTGCTCCTAAACTTGAACTGAATATAGACTTTCATCCCAGAGCAGTTATGGAGTAAACTTGCAAAGAAAATAATGAGAAAAAGCTGAAACAGGGGAAATTAAAAGAAACCCAGAAGAACATCAAAAAATACATTTTACCCAAAATCATAACCAGAATTTTAAAGCACCCGTGTCTTCTTCTTTATGAAATGTTGTAATATTTGAAGAAAAATAAAAACGGGAAACAGAAATTAAGGGATAAGAACACTTACATAAGTATTGAGTTGCCTAACAAAACTAGAGAAATTATTGTGCTTGAAATATCTAGGGAGGAGATTAGTGGAGAAAGAGTGAGGATCCCATACAACAAAGCTGCTGCCTCCTCTGCTCCAAGAAATTATGTGGTTAGTACTAGGGTCATCCACCATGTCAAAGGTCTTAGCAAGGAATGGTGGAGGCCCTGAATCATGGAGACCCTCCATCGGTTGCGGCGGCGCCATCACCACTGACGGGACGTCGTCGGACTGTGAATAACTGGAACTCGGGTACTCTTCCTTCACCGGAAAATATGGATTCATGGTTCAAAAACTCTGCTAGATTTTCTCTTCTAGGATACGAAAATGATTTAATTTGATTCTTTATTTAATTCAATTTCTTTCTTTGACGGTTCCTAATCCTAAGTTTATTGCTGAAGATTTGTTTTGATCAAATGCAGAAAAGGAAGGAAACGAGGAATTTCAAATCAGGGCACGCTTCATTCACTCCAAGCTAAAGTTTCAAATATGTAAAAAATCTAGTAATAAAGGAAAACAAAATTGAAGCTGAATCCAAAGAGAATCAGCACCATTATAAATAGAAACTGAACGGAAAGTTTTTTTTTTTTTTTTGTGCTGGGGTGTTTTCTTCTTTGGGAAGGTTAGTTATATGCCGTTATAGTAAAATTTGTTATATTTGTCAGGCCCGCACATAAAGAAGCCACGAAAGCAGTGTGTAAAGGGATCAACTACAGATATAATATATTATAAAATTCATTTGGAAAGTTCTGGAGTTCTAAAATGGAAATAGTTATTTTATTGATTTTATGTTATATTTTTGTTTTAGTGAAATTATAATTATAATAAGAAAAAACTTTTCTATTTAAAAATAAATAAAGAAACCTTTTTTTTTTTTTTGTATTTTGCAGGTGTGTAGCTCTTTCTTCATTGGGCGAGGCAAAGAGACATCGTGTGTGGTCCTTAGAAAGTTCTGGAACTTAAAGGGTAAGGAGGGAGTGATGGAGGTATGTGTGTGGGACCCATGGATTCCTACGTAATCCTAATCTAAATTTTAATTGGTTGAAATGAACAATTGATCCCATTTCGAAATTATAATTGGGGCCCCATTCAATTGAAAAAATCTCACAAATTATGGAAGATTCTACTGATTTGGACCTTTTTGATTTAAAGGAAAATATAGGTTTTTTTTTTCTTGTGTGTATAGATGTGTGTTGGTTGGTAGGGTGTAACTAATATCATTGGTAAATGAAACGATAATTAATGGAATTCAACTTTCACTTTTCCTTGCTCTTTTTGGTCTCTATAAATATTTTATCTATATCCCAAGTTGAAAAAATATATTTATACTATTGACTAAAGAAATTGTGGGAAAATATGTGGTTGCGGTGATTATTTCTTTAAAAACAAACAGAGCAAAGGTCAAATTAGTTATATCCAGGTTCTGGAAGGATTTACTTTTTACACTCCTTACAACTTTTTTCTTTTTTTAGCATTGAATTAGATTGTTTTCCCTGTATCACTGGGGGCATTTTTTTTTTTAATGTCTTAGTTTTATTAATCCTTACTTATATTATTTAATAGATATATTAAATTTAAACTATATTAAAAATTAAGTAATCATTCATAATTAATTAAGTTCATGAATATGTAATTTTATGAATAGTTAAATTTATATAATTTTGATTTGATTCATAATTATTTATACTATTTAATAGTAAATAAAAATCTATATTTAAAATTTAAATGATACAAAACACCAATTATAGTCATCTATAATTAATTGAGTTCATGAATATCATAGATTTATAAATATTTAAATTCACAAATAGTTAAGTACATTCACCTATAATTAATTGGTTTTATGAATTTTATATATATTCATGGATGGTTAAATTCATAAATAGTTTAATTTAGGGAATTTGGATAAGATTTATGATTTTTATATTACTTAATAATAGATATGATCATATGAATCCAACCTTAAACTTTAAATGATACAGAATATAAAATATATTTATTCATAATTAATTGAATTCATAAATAGCATAAATTTATTAAAACCAAATTCATAGATATACAGTATAATTTAAAATAAAAATTATTAATTAATAATAATATAAACTTGCATGCAAATGAATTTATATAGATATATAACAAATTACACATTAAAAATAAGAAAAAAAAATAAAAAAATATTATCATTTAGAGAAACCGTTTCAATCATAAATGAATTTAAAAATAAACCATTTCAATCAAAAAATCTTTAAAATTAAAAATAGATATACGGTAGATTATAATTATTAAAATTTAAAATTTATAAATAAATCACACAATTATTAATAAATACGTCAAAATTTACATTTATTATTTTAATCAGTAAATGAATATAACATGGGGTTATTCATTAGTGCATTAATATGTGTTGAATCTTAGTAATTATTAAAAATAGATATACATATTGTTCTTGTTGCGCAAAAAATTTGCTTGACAGTATTACTTTTACGAGGTAGGAACAATACGAGAAAGAGATAGTGACAGGCTTAAATATGTGAAGACAAGATACGCTGGACACGGTGGTCAGTACAAACATGACACGTGTCATGTTCCTCGACTATGAGCAAGGCGACAAGTGGTCTCTCACCAGCAAAACAAGTGGGTAACTCTTCCTTTTTTAAGGCAAAAACCAAGACCAATATTTCATTATTTTATGAGTTTCGAGATGAATTATATAATCTTATTGGTATATCCAAAAAGACCGCACAGATGAACCTCGCTCATGCCAACTAAGGATCGTGGCACTTCAAATATTTATTTTTTATGTCGAACTTTCTAGATTGTTATGGATAAAAACATAACATTTTGTAAGATAATATAGGAATAGAGATTAATAACTTTATTGTTTAAAATTTTTTGGGTGTAATTCAAATGCTAATTTTATATCGAGCAAAAAATTATTGTCCAGCGAATTATAGCTTGCAACTTCTTCATAATACATTTTATTTTATTTGCGTCTAAGTCCCTTCTGGTCGGATGAAGAGAAATTGCAAATGCTGACTAATGGATCTGAAAAAGCAAAATTTAAGTTGATGATAATCCGATTTAGAATTATGTGGCAGATTCTAATAGGTAGCTGCTATGAAACGCAGGACTGTCGCTAGCAGAATTGTTTTTGTTTTCCGCTTCCCAGTTACACAAGCCTCGAGGCCTTCACTTTTAGGCTTTAGTAGTTAAATGTAAAAAAGGACAATATTCTTCGTTCGTAAATATGATATTTCATGTTTTGTATTGTATTAAAAAAATATAAAATATAAAAAATTATTTATTAAATTCAAATTGATACATTAAATATAAAACATATTTTTTATTTTTATTAAATTTATATAAATTTTAAATTATTTTATTTTATATTTTTTAATATTATTTTTGTGTCATATATAAATTATTAAATCTATCAACACATCTAAATAATAAGCATATCAGGAGAAGAACTACATAGTTTTTTGTTTTATATTTATCTTTTGATTGCCTTCTCACGTTCAAAGGCAAATTTGGATCACTTAATGGAATAGATTTAAGAGAATAGTAAGTGAATATGTACTATCATGTTTAGTTTGTAGAAATATCATTTCATAGCAGAGGTTGCCTATGACTTCACTTTCTTCTCAATATTTCAAAGTTTTTTATATAAAAATATTACAATTTAAGAATTAAAAAATAATTATAAATATTAAATTTTAAATCACAAATTTTTTAAATATTATATTTTAAAAATAATTATATGGATCAACAAATTAAACGTTGAGTTTAACACTTAAAAGTTGAATGAGTTAGAAATTTTTAAAAAATATGTAAAGATAAAATTGGTATAAAACCAGTGGGGAATAGGACTGTAAGCCAATAATAGATATTAAAGGCATAAGAAGGGAAAAGACTTTGCAAAATCAACAACATTCCAATCCTTATAGAATTACCTCTTTTTAAGAAAGAATCATGGTGGTGGTACCCTCCAAAATACGTCCAAAAATTACACAATCACCTGGCACATTGGACCCTTGAACAATCTTACAACACTTGGTGGAGTGATTTATCCCAAAGACTTGTTAATTTTGATCTCCACATTCCTTCAAAACTAGCTGAACTTCCAATAAACCCTTACTAGCAGAATGAAAAATATCTCTATAGACTTAAAGTAAGATTTGAACACATGGTCTATAATCACTTATTCTAATATTGTGATTCCAATCCTAATGATTTTGAATAAAAATTATTCCAGTGGGTAGATGATTGTCTCGTTCTCCAGTACCTTGAAGACTTCCTAGAATAATGATGCTCATGTCAGAAAGTCACTCATGATGCTCCAAGATAAAAGATTCTCTGTTTCAGTCCAATTATGTATAATTACGTGTGATAATTTTCAGTTTCTCTAAAAGACTCCAAAAATTGATAATGATGCCTCAACATCAAGATAATTTAATGTCAAGTCTTCATCAATTTTATGTCAAGTTAAATCACATTTATGTCTAGTCTACCTTTAGACAAGTCATAACAACTTTATGTCATGAGTCATCGTTACTTTATGTCAAATAAGTGATGAGTCATGGTGATGAGTCATCTTCTTTTAGCTTTATGTCAAGTCACTTGAAAAGTTGTAATCATCGAAATTTGAGGTAAAGGTTTGGTGGAATCTTGAGTGGAATCTAATTTTTCTGTGGTTTGGATTGGGTAAGTTTAAGGGAGCTGTTTTTATTTCTTAAGATAGATGATATTGTAGTCAAACTTTTTTGGGGTTTCACCAAGGATATCAACTTCAGGGTCTCCATTCTTATATCTTTCTTTGAGCTTTTGCTGAAAAGATTTTTTTTTTTTTTTTTACTTATTTGGAATATCATCATCATCATCATCATCTAAGAAGCTTTTGTATGCATCTATCTAGCATTCTTTGCATTTGTAATTTATGTTCCTATAACAATGTCTTTGTGAAAATCTGTATGCATATATAGGATTTTCATTAGATTGAAAGTGTGTGACTGGAACATCAAGGAGATCAGCTTGACATCTTTGCATTATGAATTATGTTGGAAAGATTGTTGGAAGAGGAACATCATTTTCTTTGCTATGATCAAACTCAATTGTGACAGTACCATCATGATTTATCTTGTAGGTTGTATCAAAGTGTTGAATTGGTTCATCTTGCTTTCAAATCTTTTGATAACTTGTTGCCCATATCTTTTGAAGAAAGGTGACAAGTTATTCATTTGAGATTTATTTTGAAATGTGAACATGTTTAGGAGTCATATCTACTGCTTCCATTTTGACAAAGATAGTATCACCACAGTGTGAAAGAGGTAAGTTAATGGCATGATCTTAAACTCTATATGCCATATGATAGTGAAAAATTGCTTGGAGTCCTTTCATCTCTGTGCCTATGATTTGGAATTGAACTTTTAAAGCATCTAACAGTGTTAAATCATGAAAAGACATTATAATTTGAAAAATTTATGAAGAAGACAGTTTCTGCATTAAGCATTATCTCAACTATACCAAAGACTGCATACTTATATTTTTTGAATCTTGTGTCCAACAAGGTCATTTTGGTACATACAAGAATACCAT